AGAATACGTGACAACTATCCACACCAGTTGGCTAAGGTGCCTCCTTCCAAAGGAAGTCATCGGTACATGCCAGCACTTCGGAACACGGGTACACCAACATCCCACGTGGAACTGACATGCTGGATAGAAGCAAACAAGACGTAAAAAAACTAATGTGGCTTGCAGGCGACTCTAAACTATCTAATACAAACATTTATATGACGAAAATCGGGAGCAGTGAGTAGTCACGGTCTTGTCCCCAAAGTCCCCAGCTGGCACCATAATGACAAACAACCACGCACTCTGGAACTCTAGGTGAGCACAAAAGAAAATGAAACCATGGCAGGGGCTGGGTTAGTAACAAACCAAGTAAGATTTCAACTCAACAAAAAGAAACAGAACACAAAATAGGAGAAGCAGAAAGGAATAACACAGTAAAAGCAAGCACCGACCGTTTGCCCCTCCTAGCAGGCAAAAAGTAAATATTAACCTAAAAGTGAAAAGTAAACAAGGAGAGCACCTCGAAAGGATTAGTAAACAATACTCGGTAGGTAATATGCCACAAAAAAAATTCCGAAGGGGTAGACTCCAGAATTCACAGTTGCGCACAAAAACCAACGAGTCGGTACTAACATATCCAGAGCGCACACCTTAGCACGAAGAAGAACTAGAAATCTGTAATACCAAGGGTTGATAATAAATCGATTCTACTCAGCCTCCTTTTGAAGGCCGATATATTGTCTGCTTCCAAAACGTCAGATGGGAGCAACTGCAGCCATCTTCCGCCTCGGAAAAAGAGGGAGTTAAGAGTCTTGGCTTGGAAATACCTTTCAGAACTCTTATAATGAAGGGACAATTTATTGGTGCGGCCACGACAAGGCTTGAAAACCCAATACTTACTTGGTTTGATTTTTAGATTACCTCTCAAAACCTTGAAGCAGAAAACTAAGTCATTGAAGACACGCCTGTAAAGGAGACTCTTTAGATTGAAGTTTTTCAGTCTTTCATTGTACCTTGGAATGCTAGAAAAAGTGTAACCGATACTAGACTGGCATCTGTGAAACAGTATTCTTGTGAAGGCCTGTTGTACTTTTTCAATTTCAATGCGAAGTTTACTGCTATTTGGACTCCAAATTTGGGAAGCGTACTCTAAAATAGGAATGACATATGCCTTGTAAAGTTTAACCAGGATTAAGTGGTCATTACCTCTGAAATTTCTGCAAATGGCGAACAGTGAAGAGAAAGCTTTCCGAACAACCTCTTTGATATGTGGCTCGAAATCAAGCTCAGTATTCAAAAGGACTCCGAGATCTCGTACTTCATGTGAGGTACTAAGAATGTAATCGCCAAACGAATAGTCCCAGTACTCTATTCTGCCAATATGAAGGACGGTCGTTTTAGAAAGGTTCACAGGTATATCCCAAGCCGAGGCCCACTCCATCATATTCGCAATAGACTTAGAAAGAGCATCAAACACATCAGCATGAGTCTTGTTATCATAGATAT